TTCAATTTCTAATCTAGAATATAAAGTAAATGGAAACAGAGCAAATCAAAACTTTTTCTTTGCCACGCCATTAATTTTACTCATTTATCGCGACCTTATTATCGAAGAATTTCTCTGAACTTTCTGATCACGCTGGAGCCAACTTTTGAAGCACTCACGAGTGTTACGCGTATTTGTCACTGAAAAATAAAAAGGAAGAAGATTGGTTTTTGAGGATTTAATTAACAATTTTTAAAAATGTTGATTCATTTTTTAAATTACTGATTTGTTTTACACTATTGGGGGTTGTGTTTGCGCTAATTTATTGATAAGTAAATTTTTATATGTGGATATCTCTCGAACTTGTTTGACTTTTTAGCGGTCCCGATCCTTTGGTTATTCATAAAATGCTTTAAATTTATATACACATACACTACAAAATCGTTTCATTGAAAATAAATCATTTGTCTAAGAGAAATACTGTTAGATATAATATGATATATAGGCAAGTTCGAAAATTATTTTATTCTGACTTTAAGGGCATTTTGAAATATCCGTTTACGTAATATTTCGCCGCCGCACATGTGCGCAAAAGTAAATGTGAGATGTCGAAAACTACTATTTCCAATTTGGAATAAAGATATTTTTCACTAACCATGTTTTAAACATTTTCTAAAAACTATGTAAAATAAAATTATAACTACGAAGTCAATTGTTCTAGTGGTTGTTTACCTGTTATTTAAAACTTAAAGAACCAGAATGATCCAACATCTGTTATAACATTGCTCATTCGACCCGTCTCTAGTTACGAATTAAAATAAAATACTGAGATATCAATATTTGCTCTATTCATTTGCCCTCTATTTTGAACTAATCAATGCTCTGTTTTAGATTACAGAATCAGTCGTTCATTCAAGTCAAAGAAGAAATTACAATTGAAGAACATGATGTGTCCCAGTACCAAAATTTATATTTTAAGACAGGTAGTCATCAAACATCCCAACCTAAGCGTATGTTATGCTGTGGGATTTGCTTTAAACCTTGCAGGAATTTTCAACTGCTTAACCAACATTTGGTCATTCATTCAGAACACCGCCCTCATTCATGCGACATTTGTCCTTTAAAATTCAAAATGAAAAGCAATTTAAGTCAGCATCGAAAAAAGCATACAAACGAAATGCAGCACGTCTGCAACATTTGTCAAAAACTGTTTAAGTGCGCTTCAGCTTTACGCCGTCATACAAGAACACATTCAGACGACCGCCCTTTATATGCATGTGATGTCTGTAGTTCGACCTATAAGTCCGAAACTAATCTAAGAATTCACCGCAATAAGCATACGAAGGAAATACGCTACGACTGTAAAATTTGTCATAGAAGTTTTTTTACAACTCAATGTTTAAAGGTGCATGAAAGTGTTCACTCCAGCCAGTACCCTTTTGAATGCGAATTTTGCAAACAGAATTTTACAAGAAAAGAAGCTTTACGAACTCATCGCAATTTGCACACGAGAGAGAAACAGTTTAAATGTGAAATTTGCAATAAGGCTTTTGCATCTCGGGAAACTGCAAAAAGGCATTTTAAATCTCATTTCGACCTCAGAATGCAAAAAAATCTATTTGTGGTTCAAGAGAAAACATAATTTAAAAAATAATAAAAAAGGGTAAGTAGTATCTAAGAACGCGGCATGGATTAATTAAATTTCCAATGTTGAATTTAAAGTAAATTGGAGCAGAACAAATAAAAACTTGGAACGTTTTTACTGTAAATATTGCATGTGTCAATTTTTTTAAAGTACGAGTATATTTAAGCTAAAGTAGAGAAGTGTACTTTTCGAAATAAAAAATTAAGTTAATGTTAAAATGTCCATCCTTACAAGCTAATCTACTATTATTGAAATAATCGTTTGCGTAATATTTTACAGGCATTATTTTTGTTTTATACTAAGTTTTTATTATTTGAATGAAGCGTACATTCAGTTAAAAAAAGAGATTAGAATTGATGGGCATCATCTGACTGAATTCGAACAATTAAACTTCAAAGCAGATAAAATACTGCGATATCAATATTTGCTATATTCGTTTGCACTAATCAATGCTCTGTTTTAGATTCCAGAATCAGTCGTACATTCAAGTAAAAGAAGAAATTACAATTGAAGAACACGATTTGTCCCAGGACCAAAATGTATATTTTAAGACACATGATCATCAAACATCCCAAGCCGAGCATGTGTTGTGCTGTGGGATTTGCTTTAAACCATGTAAAAATTTTCAAGTACTAAACCAACATTTGATTATTCATTCCGAACACCGCCCTCATGCATGCGACATTTGCCCTTTAAGATTCAAAATGAAAAGCAATTTAGTTCAGCATCGAAAAAAGCATACAAACGAAAAACAACACGTCTGCAAAATTTGTCAAAAAAGGTTTACGTGCGCTTCAGCTTTACGTAGCCATGCATTAAGGCATTCAGACCACCGCCCTTATGTATGTGATTTTTGTAGTTCGACATATAAGTCCGAACGTGGTCTAAAAATTCACCGCAATACGCATACAAGGGAAATACGCTACGACTGTAAAATTTGTAATAAAAGTTTTCTTACAAATCGATGTTTATTGGCGCATAAAAGTGTTCATTCCGGCCAATACCCTTTTGAATGCGATTTTTGTAAAGGGAGTTTCACAACAGAACAATCTTTACAAACTCATCGAAATTGGCACACGAGGGAGAAACAGTTTAATTGTAAAATTTGCAATAAGGCTTTCACATGTCTGGCCACTGCAAAAATACATTTTACATCTCATTCCGACGAAGGCCTTCTGGATGCAAAAAATATTGTTTGTGATCCAAAAGAAAACGTAATTTAAAAAATTAGCGAGATATTAATTAGTATGAACAGGACATAGAGTAACTCAATTTTTGATGTAGAATATGAAGTAAATTGAAAAAGAGCAAATAAAAAACTGGAACCTTATTACTGCAAATGTTGCATTTCTCGACTATTGTTCTCAAAAGAGTCAATTTAAAATCACAGTATTTAGTGTCAAAGAATGAATTTTGATTTACCGGTAGTTTTATTTCAACTCACAATTTTACATTTGCAGTATCCATGTTTTGATATCTCAGACTAATTATTCCTGTTTTCAGATTACGCTATCAGTTGAAAACTAAAATAAAAGAAAAAATTTCAACTGATGCCACTGATGTGTTTGAATCCGAACAGGTGAAGTTGAAAGCAGCTACTAAGTCCAAGGCAAATGGTTTATGCTGTAAGATTTGCTGTAAACCTTGCAGAGATTTACTGCTTCTAAACGAACATTTGCTCACTCATTCACAGGAACGACCATTTGAATGTGATTTGTGCAAGTTAAAGTTCCGACGCAAGCTGGAATTACAACTGCACCGGAAGAAACATGCGAAAGAGACTCGGTACAATTGTGAGATGTGTGAAAAATCATTCTCAAAGTCCTACTTATTAATTGCCCATTGGAGTGTTCACTCGGACGAACGACCTTTTGAATGCGAAACATGCAGTCTAAAATTTAAACGCAATCAGGACTTGAAGCACCATCTAAATACGCATTCTGAGGAAGCACTTTTAAAAAACCGATGTACTTTTTGTGGCAAAGCCTTTGTTAAGCGCCAGCTCTTGCTTTCTCATTTGAAAGTTCATTCGAATGAGCGTCCTTTTGTATGTGAAATTTGTAATGCAACATACAAAAGAACGCAAGAACTGAGAGTTCATAGAAATAAGCACACAAACGATAAACAGTACAACTGTGATTTTTGCTGTAAAACTTTTCCTAGCAGATTTCAATTAAGTTCACATTTGGTCACGCACTCTGCCAAGCGACCTTTTGCATGCGAGATGTGTAATTTAACATTCAAACGGAAACAGGAGCTAAATAAGCATAAAAATAAGGAACATTCGACCCCCAAACAGCCTGGACAAAGTAATTATTGTAAAGATGGTGTTTTTGAAAGTCTCAGCAGTAGTTCAGTTCTCAGTGCTGACAACAGTGTTAAAAACGAGAGCCGGTTTGAAATACAAGTCAAAACAGAGCTTGAAATATCATCAACATAGGCATTTCAGCGAGAGACACAAATTACAACTCATCAAGTTGTCTTTTAATTCGCTTTATTTTTTATTTAACATTAAAGTTAAAGGTGTTTTAGATAAGAAAACAACACTTTTCACTGCATGTTAAGCGAGTTCACGTTTAAACGCAAACATAAAGATCACAAAATATCGGATCGGAGACATTCCGAAATTTAACTTTGAAACGTTTGGCTTTAAATGCCTTCAATCTTGTGGTAAAAAAATGTGCGTGGTTGCATAACGTTGAACATAGACGTTTTCGTAACAGAAATTATGAGAAAATTAGAATTGCAATCTCAAAAACAAAACCAGGAAGTGATGAGTACCATAATTCACGATTATTCTTAAAATCATGTTCATATTCAATTACTCACAAAATAATGCACGATATTCTCATATTAACTGAATATAACTTCAAAATATTTGTTCTTTCTAATTACAGAATAATGAACTTTGTAAACATACTAAAATAAATTAAAAGTAATATTCAAAATGGTAAAATATTGTAAGATGCCTAACTGTTTTGGGCACTAAAAAAAATGGTGTGCGTCATGGGACGCTGGACAGAAGTGAAAACTTCATATATTTAATAAAACCATAAAATATTGGACTTGTTTAACGCATGATGGCAATAATAATTTTATTTTATAATTTTAATATTCTTCTTAGTCTAATCATTTATAAATGGATCAGGAATAGGTAAAATATAATTTGATTTCCTTTTGAATGTAAAGTATCTTTTTTATTTGCAACATT